TTGGTAATTGGCAGGTAATTCGTCATATTTGTATGTCACTGTAGTGTGAGAGGAAACCGCAGCCCTTTCAAGTTCTCAGAGACAAAAATAACAACAGAGCCCCGCTTACTGACAACGTCTTATCTTACAGGGCAAATGAGTAGAAAGCTGTGAGAAATACTCCTTGAACAGAAGAGTCGTGTGACGTTAACACATTCAAACATTACAGATGATTGTGCATGAGTGTTTTTGCACACAATAAAGAATCACTGGCACAAGCTTTGGACAAACGTGGCATTAAACAAAAAAAAAAAAAAAGTGCCTTTACCAGTTCTGGTCTCCACTCTTCATGACAGATGTGGCCAAACACAGCTTCTCCCTCACTGACCATGGCTCTGTTGGTCCAATGACAAGCAGCTTGTGTTCTGCAGATGTGTGTGAGGAGGACAACACATGACACACACACACTTTACACACAGGGCATTCTCACAAAGCTGACATGTTCCTCTGATTGCCTGCTGTGTGGCTCTCAGGCCTGGTATCGACTGCACCGTTCAACTCTTGAAGCTTCATTTTTTTTTTTTTTTTTTTTATGACCCACCATCGCCAGCAGCAGTTCACTCTACGCATATAACTACTCGGATTGAGCACACAAAGAGTCGTTAGTACAGTTGGTGTTAAACAGGAACCAGCACTAGTGTACAGAGGGCTGTTAACTCGTGATGACAGTCATTAATCCTCGCTGGCTCCCCTGCAGGGAAGCGGAGGCTGCCATGAAGGGGAACTTAGTGCTGGTAACATCCACACACACACACACACACGCACGCACCGCTAACTGGTAGCATGTCATGACATTTGCTATGTAACGACGTTACTCACTTCCAACCCCGTTTGCCATCTTCCTGTCATCCCGACATCCCGTACATCCTTTTGCTAGACAGAAACCCAGCAATTAACAACGCCAGCGGTGTCCGAAAAACGCTCCGCACACAATGATGGACGTTAACATCAATGGATGTTGTGGATGTTAGGGGTTTTTTTCCCCCCTCACTAGCTAGCGCGCTGAGTCGCCGCTGCCCGTTAAAGTCACAGTCTTGTGCGCCGTAGCTGCTGGTAACTTAAGGATTAACTAGCTAGCCCAAACAGCTATGAAGGACTGGGGTCCGTTCAAGAGTCGCAAAAACGGCTGAATTTTGTTTTTTTTTCTCTCGCCCGGACCTCAGCAAAGTGCTGCTAGGACACCGCCAGACAGACGTGAATTTTTAGCTTTGTGTATTCACAAACGTTATTTCTCATTGTAGCTAGCAGCGAACCGTTCATACACGCCCACCACACTGAGGATGATGATGATGATGATGATGATGATGGTACGACCCTAGAGGCAGCTGGAGCTCCACAACTTAGCTAATTAGCTTGTTTTTGTTTCAAGAAGAAATATATATTTTGCCGTGGCGGTAGAATGATAATAATATATGTAAAAATGGAAATCTAAAATATACTAGAATGTATAACAAACTGAAAATAACACCTAAACAACAAAGTGGGCTCCTTGTCACACAGCTAGCTTGGTTATAACTCATATTTAGCCTGATTAGTACACATTATAAACTCACTAGCATTAGCTCCATGTAGCCTACATCGACGTGGAATATTTAAAATGTCAAACAAAGACAAAAATGTAATTTTAAACTCTCTGCATGTATATTGCTTTACATAATTACAGGTGTTAAAAGCAAGCTAGCAAATACCATTACGTAGCACCTTATTGCAAACACAGGTTACAGTGCGTCACAGGTAAAGGTATTTTTTAAAAAAAAAGTGGTAAAAAAATAAATAATAAAATATAGCAGAATTCTAATAATAAAAAAAAATCACAATAAGTACATAAAAAACAGTACGAACAAGTCGAATAAAGTGCACGCTAATTTTATAGCTCAATTAAAACTAAAACAACAGAAAAAGACAACAATAGAAATAGGATATTTATGCAGTTTTTTATGTATGTTTATTCCTTTACACAGGACTTTATTGTATACAGAGGTTAAAGTGCTTTACAGGTAAAGGTAAAAAAAAAAAACAAATAAATTTTAAAAAGCAATAAAAAAAAAAGTGGTACAAAAAATACTGCAGAATTGTATTAATTAATAATTGTATTATAATCACAGTAAATGCATACAAAACAGTATGAGCAAGTTGAGTGAAGTGCACACAATTTTTCTTAGATCAGTTAAAACAGAGTAAAACAGCTGAAAAAGAGAAAAATGAAAATAGAAAAATTACATTCATGCAGCTTTTTATGCAGTTAAATAACCCAATATATGTATTACATCATGTTATTTCCATACAACATCAAAATTAATCAGAACAAGAAACAAACAAAGCGAGGAACATTTCCACCACCTGTACGTGACAACCTTGCTAAGCAGCTTTTTTATACAGTGCAGATGAATGTGGGTGAATGCAGGCGCCACAAACTAGAAAAACTGGTTTGTGTTTGGCATGATATGGCAAAATATATCATGCAGTACTTCCAGAGAACCTGGCAGTCTTGCAGGAAACATTTAGACATAAATAGTTTGGGTTTTTGTCTACATTCTACAGTTGCCACCTTTATGAAATATGGATATTTTCATAATCTGAATGTTTTCAGACTGCTTTAACTGTATGGTAACGTTACAGCTTTATCTTGTGAGCTGCTGTCAGCGGTCTACACAAGAGGGAGTTTGGACGTTTTAGTGAGATTATTCGAGAACAGATCTGCTAATATAGTCAAAACACATTTATTATCTATTTTAACCTGTGGGTGATGCGTTCAATTGCAAATCTGTAATTTCACTTTTTCAATTCTGCTGATTTCAATTAAGGTTAAAAATGAAAATAAATACGTTCTTTAGCTGCATGTTTTCTAGACATGTTTCTGTAAAGCAGAACCATGTGAGGTTCTTCTGTGAACCCACCTGATCAACATTTTCTGTGACCTGCGAGCAGACATCATGGAAAAAAAAACTGCAGTTAAGAAGGAGACAACAGAAGAAAGGGTCAGAACTTGATATCTAATCATTAAGATGTGCACAGCATCATTTTTGGCACGCTCTGAGACAGCAGCCAGCCTACAGTTAGTTTGTGGAATGCTTTGTCTGAACGTTAACTTGAAATTATTTATAAAACCTACACACCACTGTAAGTATTCTGCACGTCTCCTCTCTGGTCTCATCGATCCGGCGGTGTTGCATCTATCAGAGATGAACAGTATGAAAGGGGACACATGCTGGTCGGCTGGCTGGATAGATGGCTAGACTTTATAAATGTAGTCTACATCAATTTGAAGTTTTAAACAACGAGCTGGATCTTGAATTATACAACACAACTGGGTAACTTATACATTTTGGCCCTTGGTGAGAGTCGGGTGGGTGAAGCAGCAGCTCTGTGCTCTCATAAGGTCCCGTATCGTCCATAAAGAGAGGCCAGTTACTACAGGGGGAAACAAATGTTAATGAGGCACTTGACATTTACCTCCATAACACTGCCACTTTGCCCCCTGCTGCTCCGTCAAATAAGTCAGCTCGACAGGAAAGACTGGCAGCCTTATAGAGGCTGGATGTGGCAGGAGGTAAATGATCCTGTTGTCTGAGAAAACTGTCACTTTGACAAAAGCCCGGTCACGTACTGTGCAAATTTACTAAGAGACATAGTGCAGTGTTTGTGTGTGTTTCTTGTAGGATAGAATTAGGCTCTTAAAATATTTGTTTGGAGCTTAATAAGTCATTTTTCTGAGTTTACACTGCACACCCTGTGCATGAAGTCATTGCTTATTGCTGTTACACTGTAAATCTGAATATAACCCCCACAGGTTAAATTATACAGAACTAAAAGCAACAGGTTTAAAAACATGAACTATCAGAATTTTTCACCTATATTTCCTAGTTGTGTTTTTATACTTATTAATGTATATTTATTGTTGTTATTTATTTATTTGTTTGCACTGCACTGGGACTAGGAGAACTGAATTTTATCTTCTGTGTATGCAAATACACAAGAAATGACAATAAACAAATCCTATATTTAAGATTGTTTTCTTTAATAGCAATGCATCACTGTGATTGTAGGAAAACCTGCAACATCAACGTCAAACTGCTGAAGGAAAAATATTTTCTGTGAAGCAGCAGAAATATAAGCTGATGACTTTGGTAGAAATTTGAATTCCATTGTTCATTCATGCCACAAGAAATTTCTTACAGATACTGATTAGTTGCGATTATTCTCCTCATACAACAAGTTCAACAATAAATGCACTTTGTCAGTATATTTCCAATATGTGATGTGAACCTTGAATAAATTACAAACAGGAAAATTAATTAATGGAAAACAACTTTGCCTATCCTCTTGAGAGTTTCCCCACTACACAATCTGTAACTGTTGCAGATGGGTTTTTTTTTCATATACATCTTTACAACTAATTATAACCACATTTCTAGTTCGCGTTTTCTTTTTTTTTTCAAGCCGTGTTCAATGTTCCACGATGTTCAGAACATGAGCTGCTGCACTATCTGGCGAGTGACAGACACTCCAGAGATGAAGGTCACACCACATGTTGCCTTCAACCGCTGCACTGAGCCCATCCTGGAGGCAGGACCTCGGCTAATTATTTGAAGGAGGGAACCTAGTGAAGCCTCCCTCCTCATCTTTGCCATCAATCTCACTTCATTTGTTACTGTAAGTTGGCGTGGCGGACCCCGTTGAAGATAACGCTGTTTTCATACCGGGAGCTCAACGGTCGCTGACGGTCTTGGTGGTGAGTACGTTGGGAATGTTTTTATTATTATGAAATGAGTTAGAACAAATGCTTAGAAATTATAGTTTTATTTAAATCTACTTTTGGACCAATTGCATGAAAACAGCTCAGAAAAAAAACCCATACATCTGTGTGTGTGTTGATGTTGGCAGCATGAGCATGTAGACATAATTTCTTTTGAGATTCCTACTGACTCTAACATTCTAGATAAACAGAGTCTTTGGCTGCTTGATTAATGACTCTTTTCATTTAATTGCCCTATAGGAGGCTCAACCAGATTAATCTTGCATGAGCGACTGAGCGACATGGCAGCAGCTGTGTGGAAACAGCTGTAAAGAGATAGCATCTGCAGCAACTTTTATTCTGCACTTTGATCAGCATATTCCTGCAAACATGTGAAAAACATATTGTGCAGGAGCAACATGTTAATGTTAGGTGTATTTACCCTCTCAGCTAGCGGATGCCCCCCTCTGGGGAGGGCTGCTCTGCCTCCGCTCCCCTGCCCTCCTCCTCTGAGACCTTCCCTGCACCACTTGCAGCTGAGACCCAGGGAGCAGAATTAACAAGCAAATTGAAACAGACTCTAACCACTGGCACAGATAATCATTTGTTATGTTTGCGCCTTAAAAGTGTAATTTTTTTTTTCTTCCTATAACTTGATTTCTATATTTATGTCTCGTTTGTGCTTTGCTGCAGGCTGGCTGAGTTTAGCAGCAAGGGGCAGGATGTCCAACAACATGGCCAAGATTGCAGACGCTCGAAAGACGGTGGAACAATTGAAACTGGAGGTCAACATAGAGAGGATGATGGTGAGGAAGAACAAGTTTAACAAGTATTCAATTTGGCCAACATGTGCTTCTTTACTTTTACATGTGAATCATTTAAGAAGTTGCTTAGAATGTATAAAAATCCAAAACGCCTCTTTTTAAAGCCAGTTTGTTTTGCCATATTTCAATTACTAAACATGTGGTTGCTTTTAAATGAATAGTAATAAAAAGGCTAAAAATCTTCTCTTTTTGACTCACAGACGCGCTTTAACACAACCGTTCTGTGCAGGTATCCAAAGCAGCAGCTGATTTAATGGCCTACTGTGAAACTCACGCCAAAGAGGACCCCCTGGTGACCCCCGTGCCTTCATCTGAGAACCCGTTTCGAGAGAAGAAGTTATTTTGTGTAATACTGTAACCTCCAAAACACAGAAACATTAGAGCTGTTCTAATGTGGAATTCATCGTCAGCGACAACACACTGAGAAAAGTTTTTTATTGTTTTTTTTTCTTCGCAACATTCAGTTTTAATTAAAGCAGCTCCTTGGTGACTAACGTCCCCTGAGAAATGATCGTCTTTTGAAGATGGTAATAAAGGCAATAAAGACTTATTGAAAATGGGTGCAAAGTTCATTTAAACAGGCCGGTGCTGCTGCTGCTGCTGTGCACACAGCTTATACATTAACCAAATAGTACCTAAGTTCTTCCTGTGAAGTTTCAAAACACTACAAAAGAAAAAAAGCAAGTTATTGTTCACAAAATTTGCTGCGTTTTAAATATATTTCCTCATATTTTCAGAGCATGGGGAAAAAAAAATACACTACACTTAAGGTGACATTTGGTAAAGGAAATGTTTCTGGTTTCAAATGGAAAAAAAAAAAAAACATTAGTCCGGTATTGTTTATCTGCCTGCTCCCCAGAGGGATGCACCTCGGTCACTGAAACTAATGCAAATGAAGGGTGGGGCTACGAGCGGTGACAGTGCAGGTTAGAGCTCAGGGCAACAGGTGTGCACAGTGTACACAGAGCAGAGAGAGCTGGAGCTCTGACAGCTGCCACCACTCGCACACAACTTTGGGAATTAGCAGCAAAAAACAAACAAGGTATGTACATTTTGTCAACCATAACTGTGAGAATATGAGCTTGTTTTCACATTTGCTGGACTGTTGTGCAGCAGCTTTATGTTTTAAATGAATACGCAGGCGAGAAATAACATTTGTATTGACCTACTTTTACAACCATCTACCGACAAACATCTTTACAAACAGTTTGGAGATGTTTGAGAACGTATGAAATGTGAAACTAGGAAACAAACGTGCAGCAAGTCAAACAGGGCTAGTCAAGAAAAACTTGTCTGACTGAACATGCAGATCTGAAACACACCCGGGCTTCATTTAAACTGGCGTTCTGAGAGCGACAAGAGGAAGTCAGAGTCAACTGTAAAAAGCACAGATTCAGCTTCAAACATGGAAAGAAAAAATGTTAAAAAAAATAATCGGTCACTGTATGAGTCACGATGCTACAAAAACGACACGTCTAATCTTACATTTCACATAAATAGGTCAGTGGAACCATTTTTCTTAGCTTTGCTTTTTACAATGATCTATAGCTTTAGTTGGTGAATCCAGTATTTGTTGCTAAAACTGAGACATAAACTAAATAACAGATTTTTTAAAGAACTTAAGTGGCCAGTATGTTCATAAACAAAACAGCCGCGTTTGATTTGAATTTTATTTTTGCAAAACAAATGAGCAAAACGTGACCTGATTGGATTAAATATTAAGAACTCAGTGTTTCCTCATTTCCATTTTATGTTTTAAGTAGGAGGCAAGATTACACTATATTGATGAATTAATTCTAGAGCTGTATTCTACTATTTCATCCAAAGTGGCATACATCTGAGAGCAGATACAACACAAGGAAGGATCTAGTCAGGAGAAAACAATCTAGATAAGTGCCATAGTGTGATAGGGCGTTGATGCCAAGAGCAGGCTGTGTGGGAGGTAACAGGATTTCTTTTATTTGTTTGTTTGTTTGTTTTTGGGCTGTCAAGTGCAAAGGTGTTAAGTGAAGAGCTGAGTCTTCAGTCTTTTCTTAAAGACTGAGAGGAAGTGAGCAGATTGAACAGAATTTGGTAACTTGTTCTACCAGACAGTTATTCTGAAATAACCTGTATTTGTATTATTATTGTCTTATTGTTTGCGTCACTTTTTAGTCCATTCTCTTTCCACACTCGACTACGTGCGATCATGAGGGATAAAAAAAAAAAAAGCCATAAAATAAAGCTGTGACCCTGGACTTTAACCTCACAGCTGAGTCATTTTACATTTAAAGGAACATAAGAATTAGGTTAGAATAATCTACACTGTGTTTTGCTCACTGTATGAATAAATGAATGAATAAATAAATAAAGTCTTGTTTTATTTCAATTTTTTTCAGTATTTTTGAAATAAAGGAAGATTGTATTTAAAGGACAAAAAATAAACAGTGAATAATATATGAATAATATAAAATGTCCTCAGAAACCTGTAACTTTGAAAACCCACAGCATTTCAATCTTTTTAATAAAATCTGACACTGTGTGACATAAAAATAAAAAATTGCCAAAATTGTCATAGTTTTACAGATATTTAATTTTGATTGGTTAGATGAAACTTTTTAATTCAAGTTTGAATATATTTTTCTAAATTAGATATAGTTAGTGACAGTGAACACAAAAAGAAGTGTTGGTTCTGTCTTTTTTTTACAAGATTTGGTCGATAAATGTGATATATCTTCTAATTACAAAAGTTTTCAAAACAAAAACAACAATGCTAAATGTTTTTATCTGTGTATATTATCAATAAGTATCAGTAAACTGTCACAGTGTGACAAGTTCTCCAAAGTAAATCCATTAATAAGATTTTCCTGTAAAGTTACATGTAAAACACTTATTGATATGATTTAAAACTAATAGTAGATTATTTTGCTGTTTGAAGGCAAATTCCTAGTTCTGGAACACGATTTTAACATTTTTTACATGAAAGTATTTAATAAAACCAATCTAATAATGACTCTTGTGCCGGTCTGATTATTTGACCACGTTAGTTGGTAATGTCATTGTTTAGAAACATACCGTAAGTATCCTTCATAATCAATAAAAAAAAAAAAAAAAATACACAATCTCATGTAAAATTAACACTAGAAAATATATTTTAATTCTTATGAATTATGGTTTTTTGGCATCTAAATGCGTGGATATCACATTTTTTATTTATTTATTTTTACTATTTTATTGTTATTATTATTTTTAATTTATATATTTTTATTTTAAAAATATTTTTTAAATATATTTTTATTTCTCTTTGCTATTTTATCACATTACATAGCCAAGAGAAATAAAAAATACATATCAAACAAGAGCGGTGAATGGAGGGGTTATTTTCTCATATTTGGAAGACTACCTTTTTCTCTACAGTGTATGTATGACATTACTAAGGTATACTTCTTATGTTTTCAGGCCTCAGAATGGCCAACTTTGGAGGACATGCCATCCCTGGTACCTTTTTCCTCATCTATGGCTTTTGGCTGACCGTGAAACACATCCTCCAACACTACTGGAGGAAGAATCAGCCTAAAGGAAGACAAGTTGTGCCGCCTTCTTTTAAAAGAATGGAATACTTCGAAGGAGGATTCACAATGTTTGCTGCATTTGTTGGTCAGTTTTCCTTTCAATCTGTCTCCATCACTTAAGCCTGCTCTCGTCTCGTGTCACTTATCTGACGTTGTCCTGTCACAGGTATCATGGTTGAACAGTTTGTGGTGGACGGGCCACACGCTCACCTCTATGACAAAGATAAGGGCACATGGGTCAAGCTGATGAACTGGCAGCACAGCACAATGTATCTGTTCTTTGGCATTTTTGGAATAGCTTTGGTTGCCAGCACTGCATCCAAACTGCTGCCGGTCGGTGTCGATCGGCTCGCCCTCTCCTTGGCACTTTTCGTTGAAGGTAACCTGCAGGGAGAGCCAGGTTTTAGTTACACATTTGTTCGTGTGCCCTTCATGTGTATTTGAGCTGTGTTTTGTGTCTCCACCCCATGATCCAGGGTTTCTGTTCTATTACCACGTGCACAGTCGCCCCCCTCTGGATGCTCACATCCACTCCCTGCTGCTGGTGGCTGTGTTCAGCGGGTCAGGCAGCACCATGTTGCAGGTGTTCATAAGAGACAACATCCTTTTGCAGATGTTCGGGGCATGTATGTTCCTCCTGCAGGGTTCATGGTTCTACCAGGTGAGTAGCAAAATGAGACCAAGCTGTAGCACGTTGAGTGTGATGTGCAGAACACCATTAAAACGCACCCATGAACATTTCTTGAGTGTTCAGAGGCACAACCAATTCTGACCACACAATAAGAATGTGTACACAAAACCATCCATCCATCCATCCATTATCTATACACCGCTTAATCCTCACTAGGGTCGCGGGGGGCTGGAGTCTATCCCAGCTGAATTAGGGTGAAGGCAGGGGACACCCTGGACAGGTCATCAGTCTATCACATCCTTCCATCGGCACAACTAGCTACAGCAGATCAGATCAGCCAATGATAATCTTTCACTGGCACAATGCGACCACGTGACATTTTAACTGGCACACAGTCAGTCACTCAAAAATGGTCACATGTGAGACCATTTTGGTCACAGTCTGGAGCCCTGTAGGCACATTGCTGTGTTATTATAACAGGATTTATAACATTATATTACATTATATTACATTATACGTAAATCCCATTAATTTAGTAGATTAGGAAACACACATGTCTAGTGGGCCACACAAAATGATGTGGCGGGCCTTGAGTTTGACACATGTGAAATAGACCGCTTCTCAAAATAACTAGTGACTAATGCTAGACCCACATTTAAATAAATACATTTTGTCCTGTATTATTAAATATGAGAATATTACATTGAATCAAAAGACTATTGTGTGGTAGAACGTCCAGCCCTCCTCCTTTATCCGGGCTTGGGACCGGCAAAGTGACCAAGAAGCACTCTGGCAGAGTTACTGACGTTTTCTTTTCTTTCTTTATTTATTTTTTTAATTGTTTTAATTTTTTGTTTTGTTTGTTTGTTTTGTTTTGTCAGTGTTCTGTTAAATTTGGTATTTTAAAAAAAATAGTTTTAAGTTGGGCGCCCAGATAGCTCAACAGGTTGAGCAGGTGACCCATGTACAGGGGCTATGGTCCTTGACGCAGCGGCCCAATTGCTGCATGTCCTTTCCAGACTCTTCTCCCTATGTTTCTCTGTCAGTCTTTCACTGTCCTATCCACTAAAGGCAGAAAAACCCCAAAAATATCTTTAAAAAAAAATTCTTATTAATTTTTTTTTGTTTAATTCTTTGTTTTGTTCTTTTAAATTTAGTATTTTTTTAAACACTTTGCTCTAATCTTTTAAACTATATGTTATTAATATAACATGTAATGAAAGATATTATTAATTATTATTATTATTATTGGGTTGGGGGTTCAAAGAGAGGTTGAGGGGAAGAGGATCGACCTGTATTAGAGGTCAGCTTGAGGTTTTGTCCCTCCACGAAGGAACCTCTTCCACCAGGACTTTTTCTTTTTCAGTTTTCCCTCCACTTCTTGTTTAAGTTCTTCTTTTTGGTCCAAGTCTTCTTTTTGTTTAGAAAGTGCCGCCTTTATTTCTAATGTTTCCTGGAGATGTTTCTCCAGGAGGCGGCACTTCTTTGTCTCCCACTCGCACTTTTGTTTTCCAAACTGCAGCTGAATGTTTTCGATTTCAGTTTTGAGCTTGGAGGTTTCATCCACCTGCTTCCTTAGGCACATGTCGACCTCCTCGTGTCGTTGTTTTTCATGTTGAAGCGATGCTTTCAATTGTTGAAGTGTTTCGTACGCTTCTCTATTTTTTAGCTGCTCTTTGTGAATATCCAAGGACAGATCAGTCATCTTTTGCCTGGATTCGTCCTCGTTCAATTTTAGAGTGCATCTTAAG